TTGTTGTTGGTTTGTCACCCACCTGGCACACCTATGACAGCTCCGTGGGGTAACAAGTCGGCACCTGCACAAATGGAGGGTCCAGAAGATTAACAAGACCAACAGCAAAACCAGCCCGCCAACAAACCAAAGCCGAAAAGAAAGGGCATTTTAAATCATGAAAGCTGGACTTGGAATTATTTGCAAGGACGTTGCTTGAAGGATGTCTTCAAGCAATATCTCACGAGACAGATCGCTTTCGTAGTGTCGTAACAATTTCGATTGGTGAATTGGACAGAAATGCAATCAGCGATGACGAGCTATCTCAGATACACGATACCCCTTTAGACAGGCTCACCAACAACTGATTCCCCGAAATCCAGACTTCGATGCATGGTTTCTTCCATCAGACAGGGCATGCTATACAAGGTCAGTGCTGGGGCACCAGAGAAGACAACTAACTGACCCCGGTGACCAGAAGTTTCTGTCCCACAGGGCCCAAACAAGAACCACCCAAGCACGAGCAAGGGCTCACCAACAGATGAGCCCGGAACCACCAGAGATCAAGCATGTGCCCATGGGATCTAGGCCCATCCAGACCCCCAGCTTTGTCTTGCACCTTGGCCAGAATTTCTTTTCAAGCGGTCCACTGAGAGGGGGGGGGAAGGGCGGCTTGGTTGGCTGCTTGCTGCAAGGGCGGGGGGGGCCAACGGACCTTCTCAGACTTGCTCAAGGCCTTGCATAAGGGCCGCATACCGGCCTGTAAAAGTGCACAGGAAACTACAGTGCAAAGGACGAGCATTACTAAACAAGAGCGAAAGCTCTGATTGGGTGTCTCAGAAGGCACATAATGAATTAAGCAGCCTGAATTGCTATACACGGAACTACCAATGCGCTACTCACCGTGGACAGCGCCAGGTCTCGACATGAGCCTTCCGAAAGGAAGATATCCGACAGCGTGACCAAGTCCCCACTAAAGGCAGCGTAACCAAGACAAGGACTCAGTCCCGCAAGAGGCAGCTCAGCTGAAGTAGTAGTAGTAGTAGT